AGAGAATGGGTGCAATAACCCCCCCGACACCCCTGATGCCCCTCCGCCGATCCCGATCTCGTCAATTAGATCGATCGATATCGGCAATTCCAAGGTGGCGTGCTGGAGCAGATGCCACGTGGCAGCCACGCCAGCAAAGCCACCGCCCAAAACTGCCACCCGCAGCGGCGGGCGGCCACCAACCTCTCCTTCTCCTCCCCCTCCTCCTCCTCCTCCTCCTCCTCCAAGTCGCACAAGGTCCTCCACTTCCTCCGTCTGCCACACAACGTCTTCCCCGTGGCTCCGAGAACTACAGCCTCTGATTTGCGACGACGTAGAAGAGAAAGAGGAGAAAGGAAGGGGAGACACTATCGTCCTCCTCTTCCTCCTCATCCCTCCCTCCTCTCTTCTTCTTCCTTCTCCTCCTCCTCCTCCTCCTCCTCCTCCTCCTTCTCCTCCTCTCTCTCTGCAATTTATTCTTCCTTGCCCGCTCCCTTCCCTCCTCTGACTACCTATCCCGATCTTTCCACCTCCGACAGCCGGGGTCGCAACGACACAGCCACGGCCGTAACGACACGTGGCGGTAGCACCCACCACATCCAGAAACCTTCCACCGAGCCTGACACGTAAGCAACCCTCGAGGCGTGATCCAAAAGAAGATGATGATGGTGACGTGGCGTTCCATACGCTGCTTCCCAAGATCCTACCATCAGTTCTTTTCCCGCCCAAATACGCTCTTTTCCCGCCAAAATCGCCTCTTCGMTCACCAACGTTACCACATACTTTCCCGCCAAAATGAGACCCCCTCCCAACGGCTTCGTTACCCCCCCTTCCTCCACCCAAATCGGTTCCATTTCCGAAATCTTTCCCGCCAAATCGTCTCGTCATACAGGTTCGTCCAAGAACTGTAGGTTCTCTTCCCACTCCTCTTCTCCTAGCTCCCGCCAACGCCGTCGACATCGCTGCTGTGGCTGCCATAGCCGCGCTCGAGAGAGACGTCGAAGGCCGGCCAGCCTGTGCAAGACAACCACCTGCCAAAGATGACATCGTCGCTGTTGCAACCGCCAGAGCCATGTGTGAGAGAGCGAGAGAGAGAGAGAGAGGGACGTCGATGATGCCATGTGTCGTGCTGTCCGCGTTGCTGGAGGATCGGGACCTGGATCTGGATTGGAACTTGGGTCTCTATTTCAACAGTTCATTTCGGTGTGCAGTCAGATTAACAAAAAAAGAAAAGGAAAAAAAACAAAAAAAAACATACTTTTGAATTACTATCCAGGGCCGGTCAGTTCAATGAGAGGAAGAAGGAGGAGGAGGAGGAGGAGGAGGAGGAGGAGGACGATCTGTTAACTCTCAATCGTATCCAGTCCATCATGAATCAGATTGAAACACGTGTCCAGGGACGTGTTGCAATCTTCGACGATCTTTTAACTCTCAATCGTATCCAGTCCATCATGAATCAGATTGCAACACGTGTCCAGGGACGATCTGTTAACTCTCAATCTTATCCATTCAATGAATCTGGTTGCAACACGTGTCCAATTTCTTTATTACTGTTTTTTTTTTCTTTTTTTGGACGATCTGCTAACTCTCAATCGTATCCATTCAATGAATAAGATTACAACACGTGCCCATTCATTTATTCTTTTTTTTTTTTTTGGGCGGGGGACGGTCTGTTAACTCTCAATCGTATCCAGTCAGTGAATCAGATTGCAACACGTGTCCATTCACCCGGGTTTTATTTTTTTGTTTTGTTCTTTCTTTTTTTTTTTTCCCCTCCTGTACCTCAAGGTACGCCTATCATATAGAAAACCCACGATGAAAAAAAAAAAAAAAAAAAAAAAAAACCACGATGATGTCCCTCGCTCCACTGAACAAACTTGTAAATGTATCGGGAGTTAAAAATGGTTCCGATTAGTTCCAAATGTTGGATTAGTCCGAGTGCATGCGGTCAACATTGTTGTCCAGATACATGTGGAGTGCTGTGAAGTGGAGCAATTCCCAATGTCTCGGGCGCTCTCTGAGGAATCACTCGTACTCGGATATTTTCGAGTCAGCTCTGGACCTGATTGCAGCCAGATACACTCACTGCAGCCGTTATTGCAGTCAGATACATCCAGAAAAGTCCTGGGCAGACTTGTCTTTCTTTTTTTTTTTTTTTTTTTTTTGAAAAGGCATAAAAAGTTATATTCCTTCAATGAGACGAGGCCGGGGCCCAAGTCCCACTGGCAGCGTTGAGCTACTTCAACGCCTGAATCTGGACGCTTTTGCGGAGATGTGCAGAAAGCGTTGAGCTACCTCAACGCCTGAATCTGGACGCTTTTGCGGAGGTGTGCAGAAATTGTGTTGAGTTTCCTGAACTGCACGTCTCCACAGAGACGTCCAGATTCAGGAGTTGAGGTAGCTCAACGCTGCTAGTGGCACTTGGCCCAGGGGACCTCACAACCCGGAAAATACTGGGGCCATTGCAGGCCTCGCTGCACTACTCTTTTTTTTTTTTTTTTTTTTTAAAGGAGTATTTATATTCCCAAAGAAAAGGTAACCAGAGGCCGGGGACCTCACAATTCAACCCGGAGTTATCCCGGCAGCATCAGCCGGTTTAGCTTATGAGTCGATCCTCTTGGAAATGAATGGCATCGTGCCTGTTAAACTACCTTCTGAACCTCTCACCCAAACGTACTACTCCTCTTACGATTCATCTACATGTTCTACCAATATACCTACAGCTATTATTTTCGTCAATCCTTCCAGCTCTCAACCTCAGATCTAAACTATCTAATAATCGTATCAGAAACACTCATTATCTACGTTATTCATGAAGCACCACACACAGGCCTAACCACGGCCTCAGGGGGGACACTCTCCACCCACCTCCCCTATACTGGCTACTGCGCCAGTCGACAGGAACCCAGTGCCCTGGTTCATGGAAAACGAAAGTGAATCTTCCGCTATAACATGGAAAGATGCACGGCCATGATTTTTGTCTTTTGTGCATGTCCAGAGTAGTGCAGCCAGCTCCATTACCCAGCTTCGGCTTGTTCTGGAAACCGGGGGCGAGGTCCCACTTACACAGAGTAAGCGATATTGACCGTAGATAGCAAAGATCAACGGCCAGAATCTCGTAATCGGTGCAAGTGGGACCTTGGCCCGGGTCCAGAGTCCCAGTGCCCAACGGGCCTTTCCAAAAAAATCATCAGAAGAGCGCAGATAAGATCATTAGACTCCCTTAGTGTTTCGTTTTTAGAAACACGTATTGTTGGAATAATTTACGATCGAGAGAAAGGGATAATAGCTTTCTGAGATGTATGGGTGTAACCTCGTGACGTTCGTTCCTTGTATGTGGTAGGAATGTATGCCTCTTGATAGTGTTAGTGGTGGGTCCGTTAGTCGATTATAATTAGCGTAAGAATCGTTAGCACGAGGGAGCAGTGGGAACACCAATGGTTGGATGATACCTGAGACCCGGTGAAGAGCAGACTAGAGTTGTATCCATTGGGTGCGTGGTGGGAAACCCGTCTTGGCAACAAAGGCCCTTTACAGTGTTCTGGACAGTGATGATGAGAAGGTATCCCTATAGCTCTTTCCTTATCGACAGTGGCACTACGGGGGCAGTGTGAGGGCCATCGTTAGTGGTGGGACCGTCAGTCGATTATAGTTAGTATAAGAATAGATAGCACGAGGGAGCAGTGGGAAGGTGGGAACACCAACGGTGGGAGGATACGAGAGACCCGGTGAAGAGCAAACTAGAGTTGTATCCATTGGGTGCGTGGTGGGAAACCCGTCTAGGCAACAAAGGCTCTTTACAGCGTTTTGGACAGTGACGATGAGAAGGTACCCCTGCGGTTTATCCTTTACCTACAGCGGCACTACGGGGGCAGTGTGAGTGCCATCGATAGTGGTGGGACTGTCAGTCGATCATAGTTAGTATAAGAATAGTTCGCAAGAGGGAGCAGCGGAACACCAATGGTTGGAAGAAATGAGAGACCAGGTGAAGAGCAGACTAGAGTTGTATCCACTGGGTGCGTGGTGGGAAACCGGTCTTGGCAACAAAGGCTCTTTACAGTATATGGGACAGTGAGGATGAGATGGGATTCCTTCGGCTCACCCTTTATCGACAGCGGCACTACGGGGGCAGTGTGAGTGCCATCGATAGTGGTGGGACCGTCAGTCGACTATAGTTAGTTTAAGAATAGTTAGTTTTAGTTATCAAGATTCTTTTCTTAGTTTGATATATCTTGGAATTTGGATTGGATGTTTTTTTTTTTTTTTTTTTTTAATTGTTTATTTCTGAAGACAATATTAGGACGCCCAGTTGAATTAGTACGTACTTGGTTGGAATTTTGGGATGATTTAGTTTGCCGTTGGAAATAATTTTAGGGTTAAAACTGTAAATTTCCGTGAATTGCCTGGTGCATCATTGAGATTTGCTGATCATAATTCGTAGTTCTTTGCTAATAGTGTTTCGATCTTAGAAACATGCAGGTGGTCTTCTGCGCTGCAAGGATATTACGGGATAGGCTGAAGGATGGGAGAGTTTAGTCATGATTAGTTCAGCCGCCTTTTTCTGTACTTCAAGGCTATTTTGAGGAGTTTTTTTCTTCCTTTTGAGGTTGAGTGGTTTTGGGACGCTGGACCCGGTTTCCAGCAAGTTTTCCTCGGCAACACCGGGTAGAATTGTGAGGTTGTTTTTTAAATATAAAGCGACAACTTCTAAAAAAAAAAAAAAAAAAAAAAAAAAGATCATTAGACTCTGAACAGCAACTATTCTGTTACGTTATACCAGTTATACCACCAGTACTTGGCGCAGCTATAGGCCGCGGGGCTTTCCTGTTAACGCGCTGCGCCTTTAGGGCTTCGCGGTACCTGACCTCAATGGCTGGAAGCGCCAGCCAAAACAATTCCGAACCAGCCAAAACAATTTTGAAACGGTACCCAGGCGCTTCGACGAAAACCGGCGCGCAGGGGCATTCCAGGCTCGGCATCGATAGCTGGGCCAAGTACTGGTGGTTTATTCTGGATCCCATAGTCCCTGGCAACAGAGCCGCGCCTCCGCTGATCCAACCTATTCTATCTACCTAAGAAACTGAAAAACCAGTACAGTACTTTGTATCATCTGATCGTTAGGCCGGCCTATGGCAAGCCGGGCAACCACCATAGGGCTGCCTTCCCCAAAAATTCACCTACTAACCTTATAGCAACCTGAAAAAAAAAAAAAAAAAAAAAAAAAAAAAAAAAAAACCACGAGTACCTTTGTTGGTTCCGAAAATAGCAAGTCTTAGACCTTTCAGGAGGCCGAAAAGAAACGACGACCGCCAATCAGATTAAACCACCAGTACTTGGGCGACACCTTAGCGTTAATGCTATGCGATTTCCGCGGCCGGCGGGCCGTCGATAAATCGAATCGACAGCCCGTGCTGCTTCGAGTTTTGGGCGGCCGGCGCGGCGCGCAGTGCCCAAGTACTGGTGGTTTAATCAATGGCAGCCGCTGTCGGGCCCGACCTCCTAAAAGTTCAGGAATAGGCTAAAACTTGCCGAAACGGAACGACAAAGGTACTAGTGGTTTAACGAATTTACAATTAACCCAAAGGCCGAGAACCGGGCTCGGCGTCCCTTAACAAAGTTGTGGTGAGCCCTCCAGGGGACGGCATCACCGGCCGAACCCATAGGGGGCTATCACAGTAATTGAATTGGTTCGCCTTTTTAGCTGGCCGGCCCTAGATAATTCAGTCAGAATTGTAGTACTTCACTCATCTGCTTCCAGTGGAGTTCGAACTCAGTAACCACATGAAAGGACAAATGTTACAGTTCATCCAGTACAGGTTGTAGCATGCTATGAAAGACCCTGTGAGCTAAACTTAGGAAACACAACAATCCATATCAAAATTGTGTAATGAAAAAGATCAAGCAAGACATGCGAGAATGCTATAATCCAAAGAAGAGGCAAGATAAAAGAAGCCACAGAAGCCCCTGAGGCCTTCAACTGGAGCTCAGGTATTTAGCAGTAGTATGGATATTGCCAGATGCCTCAGATGAAGAACTCAGTAAACAGCGAAGTGGGCAATTTGTCATGATGTGTCTGCACCGTCACCAGGTCCCGAAAGCTGTTCCAACGAGCCAGGTATTTCTTGATCGCTCTTGGCTGAAACCCCCTGTCCTGTCCTGTCAGCGACCAATCGGTAGAGAGCATCAGCTTTATAGCGTATTTCACCTCTGCACGCACCATCAGGTGGGTGAGTTTCTCCAATCGGTAGAGAGCATCAGCTTTATAGCATGTTTCACCTCTGCACGCACCAGCCGGGGGCCCTGGGTTGCCCCAGAGCCCGGGTGGCCCGGCCGGGGGAGCTCCGGGCAAAGTCGCAGTCAAGGCCCCGGCCAGTCCCAGCTCAAAAAAAAAAAAAAAAAAAAGATAAAAATCTGAAAAAAAAGTCACGGTCTTGTCCAGTCCCAGCTAAAATAAAATAAAATAAAATAAAATGATAAAAATCTGAAAAAAAAATCTATGAATCTGAAAAAAAAAACTATGTCATGCAAAATTGCAAACCAAACATCTTTTTTCCTGTGGGTGACCACGAAATTCAGTATGGAAGATAAAAAATAAAAATAACACTAAATTATACCATACCCCTTTACACCCTATTAAGCCCCTTCGAGCCCTTTCGAATCGCGATTATCCCCAATAGACACCCTTTGGTGAAATATCACCAAACTCAAAGAAAAGGCCAGATTCGAGCACGTCTCAGTGGGTGCAAACTTGCCCCACTGCCAAAAAAAAAACAGAACAAAAAAATTGACCCTCTTTTAGGTGTCGCCCGGGTACCCCCAGCGGGTCACCCCCGGAGCAAGTTTGCCCGGGTCGCCCGGCCGAGCGGCTCGGCCCGGGCGACTCTGGTAACATAGGTTGTTTGCCCTTTGTCGTATCACCATTATCAGAGACTGACGTTCGATTAGAATGTCTCTTTTGTGTGTGAACTTTGTACGGAAGAGATGGTCTTAGGCCTTATGAGGAATACATTCATATTTTCGAAGTCGAGAAGGTTGGAAAATGGGATAGTCGCAGTAGATTTGGGAGGGCTTTCGTTCTCCCTAAGCACAAAAGTTCTACCTAAGCACAAAGATCTCACTGGATGGAGACCGGGTTCTCCTGCCCGCTCTAAGCCGACTAACTTGGCATGCACCAGGGTGGTTAGAGCCCTGAACCGTTTGCTGTTTAGTCTACCCAGGACTTCCAACTTTAACCTTGAAGAGGTGGATGATTTGGCTGATGGGCTCTGAAAAATGGACACACTGTTGTTTAGACCGGTTGACATTCACGATCTGCGTTCAGCATCTTTTGTCGTCAAGGATATGTTTGTATCCTTGGCCCATTCAGATATCACCACTGCAGAGGATCGGTTGTTGGGATGTTATTTTCAAAGGGGTTATGATGGGGTAGCGATGTCTAAGAGTTGGAAGCAAACCTTTTTGTCCTTTGGATCGAAAAGGGAAAATTNTTTTATGGGCCTCTTTCCGCACATCTAGCACTCCGAACGAAAGACAGCACAGGGCGTGAGGTTGCACGTCACACCTGATCATTATGGTACCCGGCCCGGTAAGTCTCCCGATATATACTTTTTTTTTTTTTTTTAAGAAAAAAAAAACAATGCCCAAGGCTGATATTACCAATAAGAAAATTGAGGCCGGGGTCCTCACAGTCTACCCGGAGTGACCGAACCGAACTTGCTGAGAACCGGGCTCAGCGTGCCTCATATGATGGTGATGATGATAATGATGATGGTGTCTGATGATGAAGATGAAGATGATTATGATGATCACACATAGAAAGAAAAGGGAAAATTGTGTCTTTGTTAACCTGGGAATGATCCTTGATATGGTCGTTTTCGATCTCCAATTTACCTTTGTGTGGTCTGGACATTGTTTTCTTAAGCAAGTAATCGGCATGCGTATGGGCAAGTCCACTAGCTGTTCCCTGGCGTGTATCCTCTTTGCCTGGGCAGAGAATCGTTTTTGGCTTTCCTCAGGCAATGATAGGCGTCTGGTTTTCGGCTTCAGGATCGTTGACGACTTGGACGTTACGATCTTTGTTGCTGTGAATGGGCGCCGGGGATATGGAAAAGCGGATGCCATTGCAGACCGTTTTGGTCCATGTTATGGAAGCAAACTGAGATTGGAACAGACGGATGAGGGTCTTGATGATTGGAATTTCGCTGGGGTTCATCTGCAGAGATCAGGGGTCTCTGTGAGGACGGTTGCTTTGGTTAAGAATGCGCAATCGCTCTGGGATACTGGTGATTTGCCCTTCGGTTCCTTTCAAGATTTCGACTCTTATGGTTCGAAACAGACGGAGATTGGTGCTATCATCTTGAGTTCGCTTTATCGGATTGAACGGATTCATCGCTGGTTCTCTGACTGCTTCGGGAGGCTGCATGCATTTTTTGCAATCAGATTGAGCTGCTGATGAAGAAGTTCCCACCTAAGCTTTGTAGCTATGGTTTTCCGGAGGTTAGCAGAGAAAGACTTAGAGGACTCACCTGAAGGTCTCATCATTTCTCGGATGGGTGTACACTACCAGTAGTTTTTTCGGTCCTCTCTCATTCTTTTGTCTTTTGGGGGGTGCTTGGTGCTTGGAGTGGTGCGGTGTGGTGACCTCTGATAAGCCAAGCTCCGTACCCCGCAGCTCCACGTACCCTTCGGACTAAAACCCGACGTAAGCCCTGAAGTACGGATCTTGACTAATTACAGGAAATTGGGTCCGTTTCCGGATTCTGTGGGCCAATTGCATGCATCTTTTGAGGTTGCCCCCGTCCTTGTTCAAATTAGTCTCGCACGACCGATTAGCGACCGCGCAGGAATTTTAAAGATATTGTTACGAGTTTGGGTTGACGTCATTTTTCAATTTTTCCTTGCATCAGCGCTTGTGCGGCCATTTTTGAATTCTTGTTTGCCATGCAAGCTCGCTCCCCGCTTTGCGCTTTGCGCGCACATGCCAACTTCCTTTCTTGCTGTCCTTTGTCTCCGTGCACCCCTTCGTCTCCCTCGAAACCCTTTGTTCGATCTCTTCCTTGATCCTTCGATTGGTCGTAACTTGAATTGGTCGGATCAAGCCGCAAGAGTAAACTTACGCGCGCGTAATTGAACAACCACCCCAAGTGCACACAACTTTTGATTGTCCCACCTTACTTGACCTTCCAGAGCCTTCTTCCTTCTGTCCTGCTCATCTACATCCCTCACCGCCCTCATTACACGCTGGTGCCCAGCCGCCTTCCACGCTATAAATTTGCAGCCCCTTCCTCTCATCCTCTTCGATCTCGGCTGCAATGCTGCGCGAGCTATGCGCGAAGATCGCGGCGCTGAACAGGCTCGACGTGCCCAGGGAACGGGCGGAGTGACGGCGTGGGGTGGAATTAGCGGTAGACTCAGGGGTGAGGCAGTCGGAGGGATTGAGCGATGGTGGACACGAGAACGCAGCCGGTGGCAGGGCCTTGTGGCTATGGTTGGCTGGCATTTGGTTGGGTTGGTGGCTGTGCAGTGCCAGCATTGCTACAATAGCCAGGGACTCACTTCTTCTCCATCGCTGCTTTGTCCAAGTGTCGTGTGTGTAACAGACTAAGTGTGATACTCAGTCACGTGCATGGCGTTGGGTGTGAGTGTCAACGGATGCTGAATGCTTCGCTGTCGGAAGTTCTGTGGATGTATGGATGTGGAAAGACTGGATGAGAGTCTTTGTCATCGTTGCGCACATGGGTGCGGTCCCTGGGAACATTGGGTCTTGGACATCTGCTTGCATGCATGAGTGTGCTGAGGCTCTCTGTTCCCCACCTAGTAACTGCCGATCCCCGCGCCTCATGCACATGTGAAATCGTCGCCATCCTTTTTTTTTTCTTCGCTCCCGTGCGCAAGCGCCACGTGTCAATTTCTCAGTTCACCTGGGCGGGCCGAGCGATCAGGGACATCGGGCGTGAGGACTTCGTCGATCCCCCCGATCTCTCTGCCTCCCGGCCATCGTCGTTTTGACAAGGTGACAATTTTGGTCGACGACATCGTGTGTGACTGCTTGCCTTTTGATAGGTGGGAGTGGGCAGTGTAGGGTGAGTTGAGACTTGCATAGAGTCAAGGTTTGCTACTCTGAATTCGAGCACGGGTAACTGCCCATGCTTGAACCTCACATCGATTCGCCATAGTGACCTTCCTCCTTCCCTGATCGCAGACGAGGATGCTCTCTACTGCAATGTAAATGTACGGAGGGCGCTATTGCAAATCGATCGGGTTCACTTTTATAACCCATCTAAAGCGTGTCATATAGGGGCAATAGGGTTTGTTTTGATTGATCAGTTTTCTTCCCCATCGTTGGTTTTGCCTTATACAGACCTAAAGGTGCTTCCCTGGTTGGCGGCCCACGCCAAGTGGAGGCCTCAGTTTACCTGCCACTACTGCCAGCTAGGGAACTCTTGTTCCTGGCGAAGGATGGTGCTGGGCTACAAAGGGTCCGTCCGGTTCGCAGTTCTCTCCCGCAACGCAGAAACTCTCTCGACGAACTTGAAAGTGACAAGATCAACAGTCAATGATTACAGCATCTTTTTTTTTTTTTTTTTCCGGGAAAAATAAGGAATTCATTATAAAAGCATTGAGGCCGGGAATTCCTCACAAACAACCCGGAAACAAAACAATTCTTCTGGGGTGTGCCCAGTGTACCCTGTGGGCTTCCGCCCAACTTACTCTGTTCTCGACATTACTTCTAATCTGTATCATGAGCTAAACAGCTATTATCCGCCAATTTACCCACGAATGATTCCTCATCTGTATTTCCAACTCAGGATGGCCTTCTAATTTCCTACCAGGGTAACGCCCCCTTTCCCCTGCCTAACAACGGCAGGGCAGACCCATGGGTCAAACTCCTGGACACTCTCTTATCCCCCCAAACCAACTTGCCTCCTACTGCGGATACCCCAACCGAGTGCGCCTGGTTGTTCCTAATAGTTCTCGCCTACACTAACCAGTCACTTTTGATTTTCCTGTTTTTCTCCTACAGTTACCCCCTATCTTCTACCCTCCCCCCCAGTTTCCCACCTTGACCCCACGTTTCTGTGAACCAGTTTCTGTCTGACCGGGTCCTTCTTCCTTTCGGGACTCTCCTCCTCCAGTCTGCTGCCATCACCCTTCTTATCATCAGTTTGAACAGTGCTCTCTTCTCGGGTTCCGGCATTGACTTCCTTTCGAAGAGGATTCCGTTTCTTTCCGTCCAGATGACCCAGTATCCAACCGCCCTGCAAGTCTGAGCCACATACCCCCAGCCCTTACTGAGATCCATTGATTCTGGTAGTCCTCCCAACAGAACCCACTCCTTGTCCCATTTGAGAGAGTTCCCGGTCCAGCTTTCCCACTGTTCCGCCCACCAGCCCCAGATTCTCTGTGAGGCTGGACAATCCCACCAGATATGGACCGTCGACTCAAACGACCACTGACATCTTTTGCACTGCACATCCACCTTCATTCCTCTGCTTGTTAGCCATACCGCAGAAGGAGTGGCTAGGAGCGAGGCTAACCATGTGATCGCTGCAGCTCTCGGGAATGGTGACTCCGCCAGCTGTTGCCAGCATCTCTGCAGTGCGCAGCTAATCTTCTCTGCTTCATCTGGTAGTACTCTTGTCCATCTTTGTGTAGCCGTCGTCAGCGGCGTGCGGGGGGGTTCCTGAACCTCATAACCCAAGTCCAGCGAGTATTCATCCAGCCTTACATGTTCTCCCCGTTGCCCCCGGATTCTCCACACCCATTGATTCGGGTCTGCCTTGAGTGTTGCGAGCGGGACCCCGGTATTCCAGAGCGCCACCTTCCATTCCCCATCCTCACTCACTGTTACATGCTGTACAGGCCCCAACCTATTTCCCTACAGGGAAACTTCCAGGCTCTTGCTTGGAAGCTTCCTTCTGACAGGGCCTACAGGCTCCAGCCTGTTTCCCTACAGGGAAACTTCCAGGCTCTTGC